GTTCAGGACTTGAACCATGGTCAGCCATGTGGGAATCCAGCACCCTTAACCACCATGCCACCTGCCAGCTCTGACACCATTCATTTATTTCTGATATTAATTTTAGGTCAAACAGGGATTGTGGCTGATTTTATGATTGTGAAGTAGAATCTGTTCAGGCTAGGCAGTTAGGGGAAATGGGGGAGTCGAGATGAAGTACTGACTGAGACTCAGGGAGACCCCCAAAGCCAGTAGTCCTTCCAAAGCCAGTCAGCCCACTATAACCTGATGGGGAAACAAACAAACAAAAACCCAAAAAACCTTTCCTTCTTGTTCTCCGTCCCTCTGTCCATATCTGCACTGTACTTCTAAGGCGTATAAACAAAATAATTTAGGGACCAGCAGTTAGCGTAATGGCTATGTCGCTGGACTCCCATGTAGTCAACCACGGTTCGTGTCCTGGACCCGGTGGCTTAAAACTCACGCCAGGCGCGTGTGCTTGCGTGCCCAAGATCCTGAGAGGAGAATGGAGGAGAAGGGATTGCGGCGTGGCCATCCCCCCTGGGGGGTGATTTCTCGCTTTCTGTCTCTCTGTCTCTGTCTGTCTGGCGAGCACACGTGCCCTATAACAAAAACCTCTCCAAAAAAAAAAAAAATTTAAATTTAAAAAGGACTCAAGATAGGGCAGCCCCTAAGTTTGGGATTTTAAGTGCTTGGATCTAATGGAAATTAAAGGCCAATGGACTTAAATGCATGAAAAATTATAACTCAGAAAATGGTCTACTTTAGGAAGATCACGCATGGGACTAAAAGACAATCTTAGCCCCAACCCCAGATGCAAGACTACCCAGTACAGTCCACAGAAGGGTCGAGGGGCACCCATATCATGAGCCTAAATGAGGTAAGAATTCTTGTGACCATTAGCCAATACTTTATTGTAACAGCCTTGTAAAAGCCCATGGTGGCATGGTGGATAAAGGCACTGGATTTCCACACGGCTGACCATGGTTCGAGTCCCAAACTTCGTGGCTTACTTTCTCACTTTCCCTTTCTCTCCCTGGTCAAATTAAAGTAATAATAATAACAAATGGAATTAAATAAACAAATCTTATGTAATAAAATAAACAAATCTCTAAAAAAAAAAAGACAGCCCATGTGAGGTAGGAGACGCAAACCCTAAGGATATAGTGAGGAGTACAGAGAGAGGAAAAGGGAGAGGGAGCAAATGAATAATAGAAAAAAGTAAAAATTAGAATATAGAGGGACCAGCAGTTGGTGTAATGGCTATGTTGCTGAACTCCCATGTAGTCGACCGCAGTTTGAGTCCTGGACCTGGTGGCTTAAACTCATACTGGGCGTGTGTGCGTGCGTGTCCAAGATCCCGAGGAGAATGGAGGAGAAGAGATTGCGATTGGCATCTCCCCGTGGGTGGGGGAGGTGATTTCTCGCTTTCTGTCTCTCTGTCTCTGGCGAGCACACGCGCCCTATAGCAAAAATCTCTCCCAAAAAAAAATAGACTATAGAGGCTACTGTAATGAGAGGAAAATGGCTGGGCAGTCCTACCTCACTGCCTCTTGAGAACAAGTGGATTTGTGAATGTATCTATGCTGCTTATAGAATGGGCTAAGCTGTCTTGAACCTTGGGCTAATAAAAGGTATAAACTGCTCTGTTCATAAAGCCAGTCGACTGAGACCAGAGGATGAGGAGCCAAAGTCCACTCACAGACTTCCCGTCAGCTCCAGGTAGGGCGTGGAGGAGCGGGTGACCTCTCCCCAGGGGCACCGCTAGTTCACCAGCACTGCTGGGCATCACTAGGGTATAAGCCTAAGATGAGATCACAGAGCAGCTGACTTTTGAGTTGACACCACTGCTCAGCTGTGGCCGAGCTGTTTGCTCACAGAGACAGCTTGCAGCAGTGACTTAATGACGGACCTAGGACAAAGACGTCTTTCCTGGTCACACTACATTCCAGGAAGAAAGTTCTGGTCTTTTGTAGCCCAAAGCTTTTGGGCAAAAAAAGTTTCCTGACCTTTGTGCCTACTGTAAAATTAGGAAAAATAACTGTACACATGCAGCATGTGACCCCTGCACTCCCTCCCCCCAGGTAAACGCATGCACCTCCAGGAACACACACAGGCGAAGCCCTTTGGACCCAGATGACAGCCTTCCACCTCTGCTCCTCATGGGCAGCCCACTCAGGACCCGCCCTCTGCCTGGGAGCTCTGCACTGCTTTGTCTTTCTTACCTACGCCTGGGTCTGTCATCTTCATAAGCTTCGGACAAGAACCGGTGTCCCACTGTGGGTGCTGGGCCTGATGACCCCTGTACCCTGTGTTCCCTACAGCGTAGCCAGAGCAACTGTATTTACTTCCTGCTTTGCCTGGGACAGTCCCTGGTTTCACCTTTGTCCTGGTGTAATTATGGATAGCACCTCATTCTCAGAAGTGTCCGGTTTGGGGCCAGCAGATTACGTGATGGCTAAGTCACTGGATCCTACATGGCCAACTGTGTGGTTCGAGTCCTGGATCAGGCGGCTTGAAAAACATGAAACGTGAGTGTACATGTGTACTTAAAATCTCAAGAGGAGAATAGAAGAGAAGGGTTTCTGGAGTGTCCTTCCCTCTGGGGTGCGATTTATCTTTCCCTCTCTCTCTGTCTCTCTCTGGTGAGTGCACATGCCCTATAGTAAAAAACTTAAAAAAAAAAAAGCCTAGTTTGGATAATAAAGGATATTATTATACTAATTATAACAGCTATTGGAAATTAAAGACTTTCATGAATGTTACATCTTCAGGTCATTTTTTAATAATTATTTTATTTAACTTTATTTATTTATTTTAATTTGACTAGAAAGGGACAGAGAGAGAGTGAGAGCAGGAGAGAGAGAGATGGAAAGTGGGAAAGCAAGCTGCCAGGTCTGGGACTCAAACCGTTGTCAGCCCTGTGGGAGTCCACCTCCCTTAACCACCAAACCACCTGCTGGCCCCATCTTCAGGTTATTTTTTAAAGAGTTTTTTCTGGGACCAGCAGATGGAGTAATGGTCACATTGCTGGGGTCCCACATGGCCAACCTCAGTTCAAGTCCTGGACCCAGAGACTTGAAACTCATGCCAAGAGTGTGTGTATAATGCTCAAAATCCCAAGAGGAGAATGGAGGAGAGGGAATTGCAATGTGACCATCCCCCCAGGGGGTGATTTCTTGCTTTCTGTCTCTCTGTCTCTTCAGTGAGTGCATATACCCTATAGCAAAAATTTTTCTAGAAAAAAAGAGAAAGATTTTTTTGCCTTAGGGCATGTGTACTCACTAGAGAGAGACAGAGAGACAGAAAGTGAGAAATCACCCCCCGGGGGGATGGCCACATCGCAATTCCCTCTCCTCCATTCTCCTCTTGGGATTTTCGGCATGCATGCGCCCGTATGTGGTGTGATTTTCAAGCTACCAGTTCTGGGAGTGAGCTGTGGTTGACCATGTGGGAGTCCAGTGACGTAAGTACTACACCATTTGCTGGTCCCTTTATGTTTGTTTTAAAATTGCATTAAAGTAGTCAAACACTTTGTATATTGTTTTACAGTTTGTACTCATTCTAAACTGCGGGAAGCAGAATTTAACTTTTAGACAGGTTTTCAATTGGTTGGGTTGGCGATTTAAAAAAATAATGACACTTTGAACCCTAGTAGAGGAGATTGTTGTCCCTGTGACTCCCTGGTATCTCAGGTCTCCCGTCCCTGGAGGATTTGACCCTATGACCTTGATATAGAGATTTCATTTTATAGGTGAGACTTAAGTAAGTGGAAATGATAGAAATAAATGGAAATGATCTCTTTCCATTTTTATGTTTTCTTGGCCACAGGGTACACGTGCTGGGCAAAGAGTGGCAGGGAGAGTGGGAGAGGAAGAAAGAACCTTCCCACAGACACCGTCACTGCAACTCTTTCTCCTCCTTTCAGGATTTTGGGCAACACACGTACATGCACTGAGATTATTTTTCAAGCTGCTGGGTCCGGGACTCAGACTCCACAGTTAGCCCTGTGGGATCCAACTCCTTTAACTTCTAGTTCACAGACTTGCCCTCGATCCAGTCTCTTTTTTTTAAGAAATTTTTTGTTTTGTTTTGTGGGTTTATTTATTTATTTATTTATTTATTTATTTATTTATTTATTTTATTAAACAAATATGCCCATGTGGGCTGTTTTATTTTTAATTGCATGAAATATATTAGAGAGAGTGGTATCTTAGGA